ATTGAAGACTCTTCTACTCCAGTCATTGACATTCCAGTGCGAATGAGCCCGACATCATTGCAAACGGGCTTGACGTTGTACAGAGGTCAATGGTAGTCGCGCAAGGGGCGCCAGCCCCCTTTCTGTGAGCAGTCTATGAATGGTCCTTGCGGTCACTGAAGCACTAGTTGCACGTACAATCGATGATAGTGATGCATCTGGGGCTGTGATTGCCGCTCTGACGATTGCTCGGTCTTCAAGTTCTATCGTTTCTGTAGGCCTACCGCTAACTTCTTGACGCTGTGTGCGGCCATGGTTCACCCATTCCTGCCAACATCTTCTAATAGTGGCATCTCTCCCTGCTCAAATGTCGAGCTATTCGCCGATAAGACCAACCACCTTCTTTGACCCAACTACACGACCTCTTACAAATTCTGACATCTTCGCATATCGTTCGCGCACCTGTATGCGAGACATCTGTAGACGACCTGTATGCGTACTACACGGAATGAAATTCGTGAAGAATTTATGACCTGGAATCGTAATTTCTCCTCTTAAATATCCTGCCAGTTGCGCAGATCAGATGCGCTACGACAATCGTTCACTCATTGGCAGCCAAAATATAAAATTTTGCATTTTCCGTCGAAACGTGTATGCATATCAATTTGTGTCCAATTTGCTTTATATCTTCTCGGTGCGTCGTTTTTTTTTTGGGGGGGGTACGAAAACGCCCATCCAACCAGCCCTTTCGCCGGGACTCGAGCCCGGCGAACTATCAGTGTTAGCCACTTTTACCGCTGAAGAGCTAGCTGAGCTATTGAATAAGTAGGATAGACGCATGTGCTCTTTCAATTTTTGGTTTATCATAGACCCTTAAAACAATTTTTTTTTTGCTACTGATTTTCGGATTTCTCAAAATTAGATTTGAGTTTAAAATTTTACTATTTCAATAAAAATGTATTTGTTGCGTTTATTTATTTTTTTAAATCCAATTGTAGTTGTTCATGTTGTTATACATCTGGATAAGTACGGAAATTCTCTTCCTGATCGTTGTAAATTTTCTGAGTGCATGCTAATAATAGTGGATTTTCCTCACTAATTCTGAAAATGTAAACAATCGGGCAATGTAAAATTTAAAGTCAAGCAGTTTTAAAGTAAGTTTATAAGTTTGACTTGCGAATAGGATATTATTTTTTAAGCGAATTCGGTCGACTGTCTGTTTGAGCTTTTAAAACTTTCAGTTAAGTGTATGAGGGTAATTGCTGCATTTAATGAAGATAAATGTGCTAACACATTTATTTTACGCTGATGTTAGCTATTATATTGTCCGTTGCCATAGTAACAGTCATGATTGGCAGTTTTCCGTGCGTATTGGATTACCTGGTGTAGAAGTAAGTCGAAATTGTCCTATTCAACGTAATTTTAAACTTCGTGAATATTTTATGTAAATTCTTACTGTTTCTAAGCTCTCCTTCGAAGATTGAAACACTGTAAAATTTCAGTTATCCGAATTCCAGATGTCCAGAAGTTTAATTTTCCAAATCGTTTTTGCTCTCTTGGCTGAATAAAATAAAATTTGATTTTAATTTGTAAACATGTTTTTAATTTAATAATTATGTTTCGATGCAACGACGATGATTGTGTTATGTTGTTGATTTTATTATTTTACATCAGTTAAAAATAATGTCAGTTTTATTATGTTGGGATAAAAATAAGCTATGCGTTTTGTTTTGTGCTGAGACAAATTAATTTCTTTACTTAATTTCAGTACATTTAAAACAGAAATAATGTAAGTGGTTAATTTTAAAGTCTGCGTAGCTAAAAATTAATTTCATTTTTTATTTCGTTTGAAGTAATAATGGGTTGTGTATTTAGAAATTTCCATTCAATTATCCCATTGCTTAATTTGTACTAGAAAAGGTGTTTTGTATTTTACTTTAATGAAGTAAAATGTTGTTTTCTGAAATGACTCCATTTGATAGTGGCCTTATATGTTGGAGTGGTACCTTAGAGATGTCCATTTCCTTTCAGAAGTAATGTCTTAGGAAGATGATCCAATTACATCAGAGGTCTCCAGACTTTTCAGTCTGTGGGCCGTATTAAGCTCTTTCTCGAAGCTTCGAGGGCTGAGACATAGTTAGTTTACCGTATCATGCTAATGTAATTATAATGAATGTTTACCTCTCCCTTGCACGTAAAGTTATAGGCATATTGTTTTTAAACACATTAAAGCGCAATTAATTTTACTAACCGGAATTTTAGCTCTGTAAGAATCTGTTAACATGTTACGCTTAATTTTTATTTATTTTTACACAAACTTCCTACCACAGTATTGAAATTATTATAAAAATTTCTACCTTATTTTAAAGGATTTTATGATTAGAAATATTGATATTTAAGAAAATAACGACGGCACCTTTGTTGAACACCCTACATGCTATGCCGCTCTTTTATTTGAACATACCCTATTTTAATTCATGATTATATGTTCAGTCTGAACTTACCGTAATTATCATTTTAAGATAATTATTACCAAATGAAAATTCAAACAAATGAAAAGTCAGAAATGACAAATGAAAAGTCAGAAAATCTCAAGGACTAATGTTGTAAAAACCAGTAAATTCTGTTCATAGACTAATGGTTCTTGGTTCTCTCAAAATTATCGCTTCTGTCTACGTATAGCTGTCAGTCTTTCCGGCAGTTTCGAAAACAAACATTAGAAGCCTTTTCTGAACTGCTTCTCAATGTATCTGTCACATCCTTTCAGACTGCTGCAATTTCTCCTCGTCTCTTCCTTGGTCCCTATAAGCTTGTTGCATCACGTTCTGCGTTTCTATGGGTGCTTATTACAAAATATTTCCACTTTATTACGTCTTTCAGATAAATCTAAACTAACTGCCTCAGCCTGCCTTTGTTGGGTACTGGCCCTGCTACCTGGGGCGTGTACTTGGAATCATGTTTAAAACCATGTACACTGCTTTAAAAAAAAAAAAAAAAAAAAAAAAAAAAAAAAAAGAAGAAGAAGAAGAAGTTTTTATTTCTTTTTCTACTGGGCGATTGAAGAAAATCAACTCGCGTTCTTCGTGTCTCGAAAGCGTGAGTTAGAATATGTATTTTATATATATATATATATACAGTATTGTTCTAATATACGTATCTTAACACAAAATCGGACTTTTTCTGAAATGAAATGCTAATTTTTTCCCTTATTTCGATTCTACGATTCAAATTCTGCCCTTCCAAGTTTTGTAAAAATCGCACGAGTAGTGTTTAAAAAATTAGCTCTCAGAAGTTTAGCTCCTGAATGTTAATTGAATTTGATACACATTTATTATCTCTTTTTTTATTAAATTTACTTGATTCGTTCTTCCAGAATTCGAAATTTAGACTGAATCCAAATATAATTCTCACATTTTTTATAATTTGTATTTTTCAATAATTTTTATAAATTTTTCAGAAAAAATTTTGAATTATCGCCTATAAAATTTTTGCCATCATCTTAAAGTAGATGTATTTCTTAGCATACCTGCAAAAAATTAGTTTTATATTCAAAATTTCCTAAGACTTACGTGAATTTAAATTTTGGCGCGTTGTGAAATTTGGCATATTCGTTATAAACGATAATAGCGCCAAATGTGGTTTACGCACTTTGTTAAATTTATTTGAAAGTATGAACGATTACTTTTTTTTCACTTGTTTAAAATGAAAAAAAAAGGGGGGGGAAATAGATTGCTATAAATTAAGAACTTTGCCAAGATACTTTCTTGGCACAAACTGAAAAAAATGTGCCAAGATAAATTTTTTAATTTCTGCTTAAATTTCGCACCAAATTTTACAAAATTTAATATTGAGGCACAATTTGAGTCGTAGAATGGAAATATGGGAAAAAATTGGCATATCATTTTGTCAATCGGCCGAGTAGAAAGGGGTATATTGAACTGTCTTTCTTTCTTTTTTTTTTTTTTCCTCCGGCAGTGTACATTTATCACATAAATTTTCGTATGCTTAAGCTTCAAAGTTTGAAAATTTAAAAACAGTGCTAGAGTTTTATGATAAAACTTAAAACATCGTGTTTGATTTACAACAGAATTTCGCTATTTTCAGTTTTGAAATAACAGGTTTGAATAACATAGAAAATAAATGAGCTACTAAGGCATTGTTAAAAAGTTTGTATGGTTCCACTCTCCTTTAACTATCAACTTCTAGATCCAGAGCCAGATAGACTTTTATATGTCTGAAGCATTTAAAAAATTGTGGTGCATCCACACATATTTACGCCTACTTTTCTCCCATTCTTTCGGCCTTGTTTTAGCTGCACCATTTCGTGGTAAAACTGGCAATGGAAATTTTTCATGGCGCTCACTTTCCTTGAGTCCCTAATTATCTTTTTTGGCGCCTCCTTACCTTGATGCCCTACACATGTGCTTATTTTGCTTAATAGTTAATTAAGCTCTGCCTAGAATAGTAAAAAATAATACTTTTTTTTTATTAAATTGTCAGTCTGACAGCTATACAAGCTATTCAATAACTTAAAACAAATGTTCCAGTGAAATTAAAATATTAGATACAAAGTAATAGTACGCCCCCACTAAACTTTCGCTCAGACTTCTGTCTTTCAACAAGCAATTACGGCTAACAAAGCTCAAGTTAATTTAAGCAAAACAAATCAGTAGCAAAAAGTTGATGCGGAGTAACTACTGATTGTTGCCAGCCAACTGCTGCCAAATGCTGTGTCTCGGATCTAAGAACTCTGCATTTAAATAGATTAACTAATTTGCATTCTGGTATGAGTTGACGAAAGAGAAGTGAAAATACAGGCAGAATGTCGAGGCAGCTAGTTAATTTATGTGAAATTCTACAAGTTGCCCGATTGTTAAAAAGTTACATCGCATGTAATGTGTACATTTCTCAAAAAATTTATTACCAATTTCGACCTATCAAAGAAGGTAAAAGATTTATTTCTCTTTCTTTGATACTGGGATAAAATGATTTTCGCTAATCACTTTCCTTTCCTTTTACAGAGTGTTCCGCCTAAGACTGAAACGAGACACGTGGGTTTTCGCCGAAGATACGAAATTCGAGAGTTCCAAAACTGCCGTCCAATACGATAAAGCACGTGCTCTCGCAGGATTTGTGGAAGGTCAGTCATTCCATTTTCATTCTTTTGAAAATTCCTTATTTTGCAGGTATCTGGAATGTGTGCCATACGTCATAGCTGACTATTTTATTTTATTATTTATTTATTAAGAATTCATACATAAAAAGAAGAAAAATCGCTTCAGTTAAGTGTTTTTTCTTCATAGATGAATGTGACGCGTAATTTTTACAGTCTTCTCTGATAATTTAAAAGGCTTCTTATTTGTCCTGTTTCATGACTTCAAGGTTGGTACAGCCTTTTTATGACGAAATTAATATAATCAAGAACTGAAAATATTTTAAATCAAAATAAAGCTTAATCTTGTTTAAAATTATCGATGCATGAGTATGAATAATAGCAATATTAATCAGGTCTTATTAAGGAGACAATTATTATTTTTCCTTTTTAACATTCCAGTGGTCTTCTCTCCCATAATAATGAAAAATGCATAAATTAGGAACATAATATATTCTTAATTAACGTCATTAATTAAATCTATGTAGTATTAGTATTATCATGGTTACCCTTTTTATCTTCATTTAACGGCTTCAGTATTATCTCTGTGAATTAAATTTACTCCAAAGAATTATTTGAAAATGCTATGTTTTAGAACGCAATTACCAAGACGCCGTTTTCGCCATTAAACTGCGAAAATTTTTTTGCAAGTCCAGCGAAATAATTAAAAGTTTTTAATTCGTTGGCTAACTGTTCCAGAACTATAATCTTAATTGAGCTGAGAAGAATGTGGAGAAGAATTGGGTAGAAAATATTGAGTAAAAGATCCTCAGTAAGACTAATCCTTAATAAGACTTAGTCTCAAGAAGACTAAGCGACTTATCGCTGACCCTTAAAGCTTCACTGGCGTGAAATACTATCGTCAATTATAATGCACGGCCGAAGACAGGAACTCTTATCTTAGAAAAATACACTTAGCAGCGTGGCCTTCACAAGGCAAAACGCGCTGTGTCTAAAAAACTATCTCAAACCCTCCCTTATATACGCGAGAGCTAATTTGCATTCTGGCGGGAAAGCGAAAATCGAGAAGTGATAGTAAAGTTTCAGAGTACTAGTTTTATGGTTACGCTCTGAATATAATATTTCAGACTTGCATATTTGTCGGTAAAATTCTTTTCAGTTTCAAATTTCTCAAATTTGCGATTGCTAAATTTGAAATATTTTTATCCCTGTAGTTCATGCTGAGACTTACGTGCTTGAGCACGTTGTATTTCAGTTATGCTGTCACACTGATTTGAACTACGCCAGCCGGACATGTAACCACTTATATACCACAAAGGCATATACGTAGACCTAGAAAATTTGCTGTATAAATACTAAATTTTTGCAAACCAAAGCCTTGTTTAGTTTCAGATTCTTAAAATTTGCAGGATTTTTATCCCTGGAGTGTAGCATGACATCAAATGCATTCCATTTGAAATATCATCATATTTTATGCAATAGTACCTTTTAACAGGGTTTGAGCTGACCCATAGCCGGAACACTTATGAACACTAGTCAAGGACCTCGCGAACGTAGAGGCTCATATTTTGCCATATTTACTGTTATTCTTAAAAGAATTGGAGCAACAGAATATCACAGAAGTCTTGCGGCCCGAGATTCTCTTAACCCGTCACAGGACTGGGACGTTGACAAAATACTTAAGACCTTGTAAAATTGTTAGTTTCTTTTCAAGTTCGATTTCACTGATGATTTATGATGACGCTGCAACATGGCGCAGACCTCTGAGCTGATCATTGACCAAATGGTTAAAACCTTGGAAAATGGTAAATCTGTTTTCGGGTTCAATTTCACTGATGGTTTGTGGTGTCGCCATAGCCATTTCGTTGATAATTTATGATGTCGCCATGATCAGTGACCAAACGGTTAAAACCTTGGAAAATTGGTAGTTTCTGTTCGGGTTCGATTTCACTGAGGATTTATGATGATGCCATAACACGGTGCAGAACTTTGAGCTGATCATTGAACAAATGGTTTATCTCGGAAAATGGTAAATCTCTGTTTGGGTTCGATTTCACTAATCGTTTGTTATGTCGCCATCGATAGTCTATGATGTCGCTATGATCTGTGACCAAACGGTTAAAACCTCGGAAAATTGGTAGTTTCTGTTCGAGTTCGATTTCATTGATGGTTTATGATGTCACCATAATGATACCAATGGAAAATTGGAATCTGTAATCTTCATATTCTAGTTGGTGAGCCAGTGGCGTTCAGAAAGGCTTAATATTTTGCAAACTTTCGTTGTTGTTATTTATTTTGCATGTATAGCGTTATTGACTCTTTCAGAAGCACAGTAACAGTACTTACAACATGTTTTATCAAATTTTAACCTGAGAAAAAGAGACGCAAAAATGTAACTGGATTGCCATCTGTCATCATTAGCGCAAACTATATAAATGAGTCTGAAATCATTCGTCAAATTTCTGCAAAAACAGAATTTTTGCTAATGTTATTTATTTATTTTCTTTTTATATTATTCATTTGACAGATGAGTTAAGAAAGTTACACACAAGGAAAGAAAATGCATGCAAATTCTGTGTTGTAGATGCCGAATTTATCTTCCTTCCACCGGTGAAAATTTCATCTAACGGTAAATCTTTCTCATTTTTCCTCGGTGGTGGCTGTGCATCTTATTCACTGCTATCATTTTCTGAGGAGGGGTGGAAAAGCAGATCGAAAACGAAAGAAGAATGATCACTATCTTCGGATCGCAAATTTGTTTCTCCGCCAGGGAGTTAGCTTAATCCCGGCTCTCATCTTCTCCTTTTCGTTTTTCTTTTACTTTTCTCACGTTTCTGTCTTAGGTTTCTTCCCCCTTTTTAATGATTTATGAAGTGTACTGGAAGTTCATTTTTCATGTAGTGTGCCGTCTTGCCGAAAAAGCAGGGGCTTCACTTTATTTTGATTTAAGGAAACGGTCATAAAACCGGAAAGAGATAGATTCCAAAATTTTTACTGACAGTGGAATGTTTTTAAATGCAACTTTCGTAATCTTTGATGATTACACAGAGGTTTTAATACATAGCAGCCCAAGTTGTTTAAGTGGAGTAATTAGCCAGTAGTTAATTACGAAATGTTTTGCTTAAGCTTCCAGCTTAAGAAACGTGTAAATGTCTATTTTTATTTTATACATTAAAATAAAACTTTAAAATTCTGTCTGTTAGGAAGGAAATGTTGTGGTATTTAAACGTTACATGCATTACTCTTTCTCCATTTAAAAAAATAATTAATAATTTAAAGCTAATAGTAACTGCATAATAATTGCATTAGCAGTCGCCAAGGATTCAGAGTCAATAAACACTGATAAATTTATTTTATTTATTCTTAGAAGAAGGGTAAAATATATTGTAATTTTCCTTCTATTTAATTGAAAACCTGATCTAGACCGGGGGGGGCCAAGAGCGATGCGCAGTGCAGGGAGAAAGTTATGCCACATACGCATGACGTCATGTGGGTGACAGCGTTAGTTCTTGGCGTTTGTTTACTTTCGTTGCATCAACAGTTTGATTTGATTTGTGTTGTTAATTTGCTATTATACCTAGGCGGAAGTGGCAAATTGTGCTATAGCGTTGTGTCAGAAATTATAACACGTTTAATACGTTTTTTGGCGGAAAACACTCTTTACAAACCAGATAAAATAACTATTTTTTAATGAATTTTGTAGTTTTCATACATAACTGTGATGTAATTTTACATTTATTTTTCATTTTGCTGCTATTTTACATTTAAAATTGAAAGATTTCTCATTTTAAATCAATTTTTTATCATAATCGTTCATTTTTGTGTAATGAGAACTTACATCGTAGTGAGATATTTAAACTCATGTCATGTTTACCAATACTGAGTACCTGAATGATTAGTTGATAAATTCGCTTATCCAACTTCATTCACATGTTTTGGTTACTTTCTTTACATCCCCAAACGGAATTCTATGTATTGAAGCAGCGTCTGGGTTCAAGCATTTGCGAAACTAAGTAAACTGATACATGCCTCACCGTGAGGAAAGAACAATTTCTCGACCACAAACTATGATGCAAACATCGAAATGAGTGAGTGACATATTTCCTTCAGTGTATATTAACTGATGCATACAGGTATGTGAGATGTAATTTAATTGATATAACTAAATGAACTTATCCATGCTTGAACCCTGAAGGAAAACAAATCTGTGTATAATGCTGCTGGAATACAAATAGCGAAAGAGTTAAGTAAGATATTCTGGTCTTCAGTGTTATTTAACTGCTGCATATGTTTTAATTTTGGATTCCATATAATTTGTTTTTAATTATAAGAGAAAGAAAATAATTCAATATTGAACATATTTCGAGTATAACAAAAGTATTTTAAGAAACAACCTTATACATTAGTAATTAAAAATATTTAATTTGTGTACAGTCTGAATTTAAATTAAGATGTGGTGGTGTATTTAATTATGGCAAAGCACACTAGGGCTATCTGCGTAATAGGTGTGATGCCTTTGTGGAGGACTTTCTCAGGGAAACTGGCTCGTTACACATGAGGAAAACCACGAAAACGCCCATGCAGCCAGCCCGTTCGCGGGATTCGGACCGAACTACCAGTGTTCAGCGACTTTACCGCTCGGCCGCTGGTGGACCGAAACTAAGATGGAGGGCAAGTTTATTATTATTATTATTGTGCGTATATGTGTAAGAAAATGTATTTTTATTGTTCCATTTTTAATGTATGGAAGGAAAAATAGGATGCCAATATCGAAGATTATTTACTAAAGCAAATAATCACGTCAGGATAAATGTTATATAGAAATCTTGGGAGTGTAAGGGATTATAAGAGTACTTTTAGATTTACTGAAAATTATGCACTTCTGCTAAAATCTGAAGTGAATCAGTATGAAGTGACTTTTCACTTTAAAAAGAATGTGATAAGTATAACTATTTAAAGTATAATGACGGATATTAAGAAATTTTGTAGAATTTTTATGGTATTTAAATATGAATTTGTTAATCAAATCTTTTTATGTATATTTTTGCTTGAGATATGTAATTTAAACTGAAAATCACGATCATATATTTCTCATGGAATGTCAAGTTCATTTGTATTAAAAAAAAGTGCATGAGCAATGAAAATAAACAGAATAATACTTTTTTTTATGATTATGTTTTACGTCTTAGCACTTATGCCATCATGTGTTCTGTTCAACAAGATTTATTTAGTGCAAACAATACTACGAAAAAATATTCAAAAATACCTTGTTTTGCAATATTTATTTCCCTTAATTAAATATCGTTTTTCATTTTCTAATGCTTCCTTTACGAAAGAATTAATGTTTACAATTATTTTCAGCATTCGTACGAATTCTGTGCATAAAATAAACATTTTCTTTAACAAAATACTTAATCGGAAAGTATATACCCGATATTTCCGGTGTATCTACCACATATAAGTGATCATTTTGCTTTAGTTTACATTTTTTCCATTACCAAAATCATGTAGCAGACGCTTCGGCCGATGCGTCTTGTCTCCCGGGTGACGTCACTACCAGTAACCAATGGCACGCTTTTTCCGTTCCTGGCCTAACCTTAGTATATTAAAGAACCTTGATCTAGACCCACAGAAAAACTTTGGAAAGGACGTTCATTAGAGCAGGTAGTCTGCATGTAGTCTGTAATATCCAGTAAACCAATTATTACTGCTACTATCAACTAAATTGACCGCCCGGTGGCAAAGTGGCTAGCGCGTCGCACAGCTGCACCACAGATCCGGGGTTCGATCCCTGGGCTGGACCGTCACCATCGAGATAGATATCTCGATGGTGACGGCTGGACAAGGTTGACTCAGCCTTTCATTCCTTGAGTGGGTCTATAAAGTGAGCAGCAAGTTCTGTTTGTGACTAAACAGCTGGAGTCCTGCGACAAGCTTTTTGAATGTAAAAATAAAAACTGTCGCCTCGTATAGTTAAATAGAAAATGAAAGGCAAATATTTAATGACAGAATGAACTCGCTATATAACTGCAGAAAGTTGAATCGTAAAGATATATTGTTATGATGTGCAATGATCTCTAACATAATCCTTACTGAAAACAGAGGCCCGACAATATCGACTTAAAGCTAGACCCTATTCATGAATGGAAATTGATAAGATTACTACTTATTCATTTAACAGTTCTGTTATAGGAAAGTCATACAGCACTGTTAATCGTCTTTCAAGGTTATAACAGCTCGACATGTCCTATATATACTGTAGGAGATTCACCCGACGGGTACATATTATCGGTGATGTTCGTGAATACTACTCGTATGTAACCATGCATTGCATTATCATTCATTAAAATAATATTCTATTTATCGCACGTGTAGGATAAAAAATTGGTTAACTATACCATTTTGAGAATGTACTGCAACCAAAAATGTTCTGCTATCTGTGTACAACTAGGGAACGTGTAGAGATCAATTCGACCTCCGAGAGCAAACATTTCCCCTATAATCAAACCATTAGTAGTGGTGCCTCTCCAAGAAATTTAAACAGCTTGATATTATATCATAATTATTTTAATAAATGTATGGTATACTAGTAATGTAAAGCATGCAGTTATACCGTTTCTTCTGCAGAGAACTGTGGAAATATTTCATGGCATGAAATACTTGTGAAGAGAAGTGTGAGAGAATAAAAATTTTTATCTGCTATTTGCATTTTAAAAATTTGCTCGAAATCATTATTAAAAGTGATTCCGAATAAAATACTCTGTACTTCGTAGTTCTGTACTTTTTTCTCTACTGCAGTATAATCTGAAAATAACGCGCAACTGGAATTTTAAATAATATTCCTTTTGTTCTTTTAAATAAATAAATGAACTTGGGTAAGAAATGCTAGTTAAAATTTTGTTATGCGGAACTTAAGTTCATGAAACATTTTGGTAGGTTCTTTATTAAAATTAAAGAAAGTGTTTCATTTTAGGAGAAATTATCGAACGTAATTTCAGGATTTTAGGTTTGGTTTGGTTTATTGAGATTACGGCAAAGCACACTAGGGCTATCTGCCTTAGGGAAGGGATGCCTTCGTGGAAGACTTTCTAAAGGAAACTGGCTCGTATACACGTTACACATGGGCAAAACCACGAAAACACCCATACATTCGAACCTCGAACCGAACTGCCAGTGTTCAGCGACATTACCGCTCGGCCGCTGATGGGCGCTCAGGAATTTTAGGAAAATAATATATGTAAAATTATTTTTCCATACTTGATTAGATACTATAAAAACGCTTCAAAATTCAACTCTTAAATGGAGTAGAGCTCTTCTTTACGTTTCGGAAAAAACAGCGTAAATGTGCTTACTGGTATTGAAAGTAAAATTTTGACCTCCTTATTCATTTATGTTATTGCTTTTTTTACACCGCATTTTAAAATAAACTGCAGTGGTGCTTCATTACGAACCGCACGTGAATTTCATTACACATTAAATGTGTAGGTTCCCAACCCCTTGTTTTAACACCGCGTAAGTGAAAAAAGTCTTTGCATAAACAAAAGGCTATAAGCGAAGTAATGAACAAATAATCATATTTCTTAATATTGTGTTAACCCTTCAAAACTTCAAGTCTTCTTTGACAAAGAAGATTTTAGACAGCTTAGAAGTATGTTTCTTCTAGTGCGGAGAACGCAAATATTGTATGCCTCCTGCATCTGTCAAGGGCTTTTTGAAGTATTGGAGATTAGATTGACTCCACGTTCCTTAAAGCGAAAATTTATTTAACTAAAACTGGGAAAAAATTCAGGTCACTGCTAAACATTGATATTCCACTGAGATGAACAGAGTAGCTATCTATTCAATGACAGTGCAATGCATTATTTCATAACTATCTTGGAGAAGGGAGACACCACTTTAGAGAATTTTGTTTAACATGAGTTACAAAGAAGCAAAGTGCAAAAAGGTAAATACTAAAAACGATTCTTCCAGCTCTTGTGGAAAAATTCAAACTAAAACCAATTACGAAGAAGGAGGGGGAACTGCAAGACTGCTTATATACATAATGTATGTAAAGGTTTCTTTTTATACTAGTATAGTTTTAAATGTGCCGCCCAGACGGTATAGTGGTTAGGGAAGCCTGACTGCGATACCGAAGGCTCTGGGTTCGAATCCGAAGAAGGCATGGTTGTAACTGGCCGTCCCTTCATAGGAGGCAATGGTGACCCACCTATCAGGTGCCTCCATAATAAAGAGACCGCTCCATCTGGCCTTGTATAGATTAATGGACTGTGTTACACTGTAACTGTTCACAATCTGCCATTGGAAACAAAAAAGTTTTAAGTGTTAGCAATTCCAAATTTACGATGTTTGCAATATCTAACGAAATTTTATTGCGGTATTTCTAGATTTTGCGCTAGACGTGAGAATGCATTAAAATTATTCCCATTATAACTTTTCGGAAATAATGCCGTGCACTAACGAAAGCCATCACAGAAAGGATTACAGTCAATATACGAGACATCGTTGTATTTTGATTTTTTTTAAATTGAATTAGAATTAATATGCTAGTAGACAGCATACTTCGATCGCGATTAAGGAAAGAAAATTCCTCATATATTTTGCGTACAGATTAAGCCAATATATAGATTAAAGCAGTAAATATGAAAATGAATTGGAATGACGATTACTTCGTACATAGTTTACTACATTTATACATAAGCATATTGGTTATACTTTGTAAAATTTTCAAAAAACTTGAATTCCACTCCAGAGGCTACAAATCTTGCCCCTATTAGATGCGGTATTTCTTTTCCGGAAGCCCATTTCCTTGATGCTGTGTGCTTTTATTTATTTTTTTGATTCTCGAGAATTTTGAATTGCGCTATCCATGAGATTCAGAAACTGCGAATTCCGCGAATTTGTAAACACTGAAAGCCGAGTTAGAAACTGCGATTCATTCTAAGACGGAACTTATCGCAACCTACAATTTTTAACTTTACAGTCAATAAGTTTGAAATACTATTTTTGAAGCAAATATTGTTTTGATTCGGAGGAAGGAGACACAGCTTCCAACATCAGAATGATTATCGTTTATTTTACAGCGTTGATTCTTAAAAAGCAGTTCATGAATCTCTGTAGAATCAGAAAAGGACGAAAACGCTAGAAAATTTTAGTTTATTAGTCTCTTTCGTCTTTGTTAGTGTTTTAAAAATGCAAACAAAAGACAGTTTTTTTAAACATATGTAATATTCAGTAGAATACTAGTGATTGTTAAAATTCATAGAGAGTAAAAGTTATGTATATTTGAGAAGACCATGATAAAAGTCAGTTATTCAGTTTTTATCTGAATGGGTTACGGATTTTAAAGCAATTGGCGTAGTATTTTGTCCATTTATAGAGTGTTTGGGGGAGCTGAGTATTAAAATATTGCTAATGCCCTTTCTTATTTTTTATGTTTTTCAGAAACTTCTGAACTTCGGGCTGCACGTACATGCATGTCTGGAAAGAATAACATAATAATTAAGAGAAGTATGCATATCAATTAATTGCCTTTCTAGGAGCAGCTTATAAGTTATAATTTGCATTTCTTATTTTCTTTTTATGTTTTAGTTATATTTATTTTAAGTTAATTGTTTATGATTTGTTTTTGTTGTTTTATTAAAATTATTTTTTCCCTTCTGTGTCTGAGAGTTTTTTTTTTATCCCTTTGTAATTTTTTTCTTTTTCTGCACAATATTTTGTTTAGTTTATTGCGTACACAATTATAAATGCAATTGATCCTTAAATCAGCACTGGTTAGAAGTGGCAGTATACCGCTCAAATTTGAATCCATGTACATTTAACACTTTTGATCAAAATCTTAACTGATAATATCGGTAGACTGACCAGAAGTTTGTAGGTTATATAAATTAACACTGTCTCCTTCACTACTGTTATGCAGGAAGTAAGTACAGTATCAGTATTGTCATATAGGCGACAAAACACTTTAGATGTAATAAATTACAAACGCTAAAAATCAAAAATAATTTTTACTAATTATTTAATAATTTTTACTTACGAATCCGGTCCATGTTATTCCTGCCACCTCCCATCAATATATACGGCAGCAAAAACGTATCACGACCTTTGTCTGCTGCTTTTGTGGGACATTATTGAGATGAAATTTCTACATCAGGATATGCAAGTAGTGTTTGCGTCACTTAATCTTCATAGATAAATACGTCAGAAATACCAATTTTATGTTTATTTTAGCTAACTTTCAAAATGAAACTTTATTTCCGAATTCCGGTTGATATTCAGAATTTTCTTGTGTAAAAAAATAAATAAATAAAAAGGAAGTGCCCATAAATTTCAGACAAACCATAGCACAACATTTAATCCTTTATGTGTTCCCCCCAAAATTCACAAGAAGACCTCACTAGCGACAAATGTATATACGAGTATAGTCACTGATTCAACTCTTCCTATCAGAATTCAAGTTCTTCCGCTTTGGAAATTTGGAAACGATTAAGACAAAATGAAAATCCGCTATATCTTATCAAACGGCAGAGTTAAAAGCCACTTCAGTACTGGGACAGTTTAATGGTATTGTCTGACCAGAAGGGGGAACAAAGGCATTGAATAATACTTTATATCACGACCACTGTTGCTTAAGATGTAATAAAACTTCATGACATTATTTTTCAGCGTGGAGGGAAAATACAAATGTCCAGTCTAGGGCTTAGTTACTAAAATTAGAAGTGCCGGAGCCCTACGGCAGACTGTCAAAAAAGATTATCAAAAATAAGTAAATAAAATAATAAGTAACTGTAATTAGTATTAAATAAAATGAAAATAGGTAGCTAAAAGTTAATAAATTAAATTAAATTCCGGCTCCCACAGAAATCTGATCTCTGAATATAGTGTTTTGTACTATTTCAAAGGATAATAGAATATAAATTTTACATTTTTTACCTCATAGTGAAAAGAAAGTAAACGCGTTTAAGCGCCAGTAGTGAGTGAAAACAATGCTAGAAACAGTATGAAAATTCAAAAAATGTTTTCTTCAGTGCTAGTGGAAGTATAAAACAAAATTTTAACGGAGGAGAACGGAAATGAAACAATGAGAGAAAAATTAAAAACGCATTGATCACGATCGCCTGCCCATGATAGCAGTCAAGCAAAATTTTCAATGGGGGGGGGGGATGCCCGAAAGTTGATTTATAAGCAAAGGCGTAGCTAGGGTTTTCAGCGCCCGGGGACAACTGAAGATTTTTCGCCCCTTTCTCTGTGCCAAGAACGGAAAAATTTCATTCTAAAAGTTCGTAACATCAATTTGGCTCCCCCTGAATGCTGCGCCCGGGGGCAGATGTCCTCCCTTACCCCACCCTAGCTACGCCACTGTTTATAAGCTGAAAATCAGCGTAAAATTCTGATGGAAATGGCCATTTTCATATTTGGATACATCGGTCCGTAAGTGCTCTTTTCCTTGGAAAATTATAGTTTGTTACTTTAAGTAATGCTTCAAATTCGTAATGATCATTTTCTGTTTTGCGATCTTGACTGTGTTTGTTATAATCATGCCGCAGCAGTTGTTATCATGGTTATGAGGCAAACTAGAAGGGGAAAATAGCCTATGATAAATGACAATTTTTAAATGCACACCAAGGGACAACGGATCTATGATAAATGACAGTGGGCACTTACCTATTGTCATTTGTAATAAATCCATTGTCCCTTTAGTGTGCATTTAAGAATATGAACTAGGGCTTCCCTTTCCTTTTCTGTTGCAAAAGAAAATGACTGGATACGACTGCACATCCACAGTGAATCACAAAAACGTACCCACTTCCAAACAAACGCCTGTAAATTTATTCATTTCCTAGAGAATAAAGTTGCGGGTTGAGTGTGAGGGGAGTTTTCTTTACTTAAATATCTCAACATTCAAACAAGGGTTCATTTACCTAGGAAACAGATATATACTTTGAGGAGTTGACAGCGATTTCTAAGACTTACTGTTACAATAAAATGTTACGTGTCCAAAGGAATTTTCTGCTAAAATTGTGTTTCAGTTTCATAAAAAGAAGTGCTGAAGCTCGTTTTATTTCGGCTCTGGTGCGCTGTGATGTTTGAAGTATGATTTTATACGTTAATATATTTTTTGCATTAATATTTTTCCGAAATTTTTTTATTATTTTATCTTTAATATGTTGTTCCAACGTACTACTCGTTATAATTACCGTATTTACGCGAATCTAATGCGCATCGTTTTTGGCCAAATGTAGTACTCAAAATTGGGGTGCGCATTAGATTCGAGTGCAAGTTCGCCGATGACGTCAGCATTTCCGCCGATGACGTCAACCGAATTTAAATCGTAACAATGGATTACTGTATTTCTCGACTACATTTACCGTTACATTTATCTTTACACATTATTGCATACTGCAGAGTACGTAGTCACGAAATGGAGGGCAAGCAGAGAAGAATGTCATATGACGCTACTTTTCAAACGTAAAGTAATTTTTTATCCTGAAAGAAATGGCATAGAAGGCTGGGAGAGAGTTCACGTAGATGAGAGCAATTTCGCTTGTGGCGGCAACAAATGGCACTGTTGCACTAAAACTATTAGAAAGATTCACTGGCCCTCGAAAGGAAGACACCCTAAAATTGAAAAAAGGTTTTGGAATTTGTACGTGAAAGGAGGAAGAATGGAACCTGTGACTAGCGACACTATAAGAAATAAGCAAAAGAGGAGGCTGAAGTTCTTGGAATACCGAACGAGAGTTTAAAGCTAAGCCGTCGATGGTGGATCGGTTATGAAGCGGATGGGCTTATTTCTAAGACGCTGTACAACAATATGCCAAAGCTTCCGCAGAGTTTGAGGGAAACTACTAACATTTTAGCGGTATTTCATCACACTTCGGAAGAAAAAGAATTTTTCAATGGGGCAAATTGGCAAAGCTGACAAGACGCCAATTTGGTTTGATATGCATTGTAACTACACCATTATGGAGAAGGGGACTAAAAAAGTTATCATCAAATAGTGAATAAACGTTTACTATTAATCACTGATTGTAGAAACTGTTAGCTAGAAGAATGTTACCATTTATTTCATGTTCATACTTTACGATATGTACCCGGAAATACGGTAGTGGTAATTAACAATGATTGTTTCACATACAATAGCCCCTAATAGGTTAATTCTATGTTCTGTTACTTTATGTATAATCCATTGTTGTATAAAATTGGTATCTAAATTTAAATAAAATATCATACCATTGATTGATAGTTTATACAAAACCATTCTTGTATAAAATAAGATTCAATAAACTCCTCATACCTTGATGCGCATTACATTCGCCGACAAACAATTTTTTTATTATTTAAAGTTTAAAATGGTGAGCGCATTAGATTCGATGGCGCATTAGATTCGCATAATACGGCATACATCTAGATAGATTAAGTCGATTTTCCTAGGACAGGCTTTAGAACAATGTCCATAGCTCTCTGGAATGTTGACGGGCCCCACACAACCCAAAGGCATGCGTAAAAATGCATAAGTGCCCGATTTTGTTATAAACGAAAAACGCGGTTTTATGTATGTCTTCGGGTCCTCATAGCTATTTGATAGTAGCCAGACGTTAAGTCCAACGTAGTCATGTATGTTGTATTTTAATCTTTCTATCTAATAATTTCCTCATAACCGGCAAAGGGTAAACTGGAAATTTAGTAACACATTAAGTTTTCCTGTAATCGATAGCAAACCTCCAAGCCCTTTTATCCGAAGGAGGAAACTCGTTTCTTTTCCTACATAGTACGACTGGGCTCGCGTACTCACTATTTATGGGCGTTATTATTTTGTTCTTTAACATTTCCTGAATATGTTCTTCTATGATTTGCTCTTTCTGTTTATCATAGGATAAGGTTTAGTCCTACAGGGTTTGTCGGCAGTTTAACTGTATCTCATGCGTAACTATTTGACAGCTACCCAGGCCGTTCTGAAAACAGTTTGAAAAAGTACTCACCACTTGCTGGATGGCTTGGCTTTCATGGTCATTCAAATGGCCAAGATCGACTTGCGGTTTGTTCCACTGGTTCCACCACCCTCCGATCCATCTCCAGCACAATAGAACTTTCCTGAAAATTGAGTTTGGCCTTCGCGCTTTTAAAAACTCCATACCTAAAATAAGTGTACTTTGCAAATTTTTTTACTACAAAAATTAATACTTTAAGGCTTTCGTTTTGAACCTGTATTTTTAAAGATAGTTTTCCCAATACATTGACACGTTTGTCCTTGCGCTGCTATGATTACTGTGTTTTTATTTTTAAATAATCGTAACCTATTAAAATTCTTCTAAAAAAAAATTGTCACTCATAAAGTTACCTTCTGCTCCTGTATCGGATGAGGGCTTCTACTAGTACATCGCCAACCAGGACTTGTATCATCGGTAATTGTGAGTTTTTTACAACGACCGTATTTAAGTATCTTGAGGGTATTTTCGAAACTTCCGGGGTCTGGACCCTCGCTTTTACAGGGCCCTCTACCGTTTAAGGCTTTCCTTTCAACTTCTGCCTGCTGGGCACGCGGACGGTTGTTTTCAAATTTCCTTTTTGGGCCTTGACTTTCGAGCTTCGATGAGTTAGCTTGATAGCTCTTTCCCCCATAAGAGCGGTTTGCATTTCTGGTCTGCTCATTTGAAGA